TATATATATATATATATATATATATATATATATATATATATATATATCTTCTTGAACACCTTTATTATATATATATAAAATAACACATTCTTTTTATTATCAAAATTGTAAATAGATCAAAAAGAACAGTGTTTTCTGTGGCTTTCATTAAAATAAAAGCATGTAGTACGCAGATTCATGTGTGTTGTTTCAACCCTTCTAGTGGATTAAAAACTCATTCTTTTTTTTTAAACTTTATTTATTTATTTTCTTGTAGTTGGACACAACACCTTTATTTTGTTTATTTATTTATTTATTTTATGTGGTGCTGAGGATCGAACCCAGTGCCTCGCACATGCTAGGCAAGTGTTCTAACGCTGAGCCACAAACCACGCCCCCCAAGCTCATTCTTAATATAGAAGGTAGTATTGCCTACTTTGTTTTATTCCTTCCAGGTGCTACAAATAGAGAAGGGTGGAACAGGTTCAATTTAGAAATTGTCTATTTTGTCCCCATGCCCTTGTCAAGCTGGCAGAGTCTTCAGGCAGGTCCTGAAACTTTTGCAGTTCATGCCCTGGAGTGGTTATTATGGAACTATGAGACTGTGCTGGCTGAATTTCTTTACAAGGAAAGAGGGAAATCAGTAGAAGTTGAGAGGAGAAGGATCAAGGTCTAACTTTGTGTCATTCCATTTTTCCCACCAAGACAGTGAGAACTCTCTTACCTTCTTGAACTTTATTCATTTCAGTATTTTGGTGGAGGAACAGGGCGATTTAACTATGCTTATGAGGTAACAGATCATTCCCTTAAGATTATTGTTTTAGCTCACTCTAGTTGATTACTCATCCTATTTTACTATCCTATAGGTCTCTTTGTTAATGTCAATAAAATTGTTAGTGTCAAGATATTTCTCTCACAGGAATGTAGTAAGATGTTCATGGTTTGATATACTGAAAATAATATTTAGGTTTTTATAAATGCCCTGCATAAGTATTTTTTTTTTGGTCTTAACAGCAAAGGGAAAAGTTAAACATGTGTTTTATGATCACCTGCACATTACCATCAGCTGGTAATGTGTAGCTTCACCAGTAGCTTTCTACAGAATCATATCTTTTTATTATAGCTATTTGCAAGCAGTCATTGGTGCATTCATCATTTCTGGGTTTTAATACAATGCCAACTCAGGGAATCTGAAATCAATAAAGTTTTAGATGGGATGTGCCAGTTGGATAATGAAAGTGATTTGGAAATATAGGCCTTCATAACATTTGGGGAAATCATTCTTGTTGAATAATGTGGAGACTCAGAACTCTGCTTTTGGCAGATGTAAATAAGGCTTTGGGCCCTAAGGAGTCAAGTGGCTTATTGGAAAGTCAGCAGGGTGGCTTTTGTAAAAATCCATAGATTAATATGTACAGAGTCTATTTGAGAATCAGAACTGTGCTCTGAAGATCGAAGAACAGTGTTCATTCTTCTTTCCACACATCTGGCATGGAATGTCAGTGTTAAAAGGGACCAAAGTTCAGCCTCACTGCTCAACTTTACATGGAGGCAGTCAGCAGACTCAGAAGGTTGGTCACATATCTTGAACGATGTCTTCCAGTTCAATCTCTTTCTTCTTCATCCCTCCAATCCCTTCCAAACCTCAGAATCCCTCCATGTAATCTGAAGACCCCAAAGCTATGGAAATGGCTGCCATAATGGGAAAATGAGGCGGCCAGTCTGTCTCAGAGTCTCAGCTCTTAGTATCTGTGACCTTGGGGGAGTGATTGAACATCTCTGAGTTTCAACATTCTCATCTGTAGGATGAGATAATACTAGAGCTCCCTCCAATAGGGTTGTTATAAAGATTAAATCAGTTAAAACATGCAAAGCATTTAAAGCATTATGCCCTGATCTTTCTCCTGGGTAACTATGCACACATCTAAATCACCTAAAGGGTCTGTTGCTGTATTGGGATTCAAGAAGGTACAGTTAGTATCTGTTTGGTGTCATTATTTTGAGATTCCTATATTCTTATGTAAAATGTCAGTTGGGAATTTTAATAAAAATTCAGAGGAAAATTTTTTTTAAAATCCCAACAATTTCACTCACACATATTTCACCCTTTGGATCTCTTGAAGGGAAGCCCAGGGAACACTAAAGATTATAAATTTTCAGCCTCATTGACCCAAAGATTTTCCTATTATCTTCACAATTAAGTTTTTAAAGTAGAGTAGGAATAAAGAGTTTTTCAAATGTTTAAAATATTGTGTGTATGTGTTTGTGTGTTAAAAAAAGAAAACTTTTTAATATCTTAAAATATCTAGAATTACAAATTTTTGGACTACCACGGATTTGCCAGCTCAGAATGCAAGAAGTATTCAATTCTTGTGATTAATGAATTTTTTTGAAAAAAACTTTAATTACACATCTGAAGTCCTGATCACACCCTAGGGATTTATTTGCTTATGAAAAGTCAAACTATGAATTACAATATTGCAGAATAATTTTCACATCATCAGATTATTTTTGCCATTCATTCCACAAGTGATTTGTAAAATTTTGCAATACCTAAAAAACTTTGATACTACATTACAAAAAGGTACTTAAATATAGATGAGAAAGATAGATGTTTGTCTTCTCCTTTTGATAGTGATATTAAATAAAAGATGGAATGTTTTTTATTTAAAACCAATCCCTCATTCCCCCACCCCCAATACAATAAGTAAATAGCAACGTGAAGAAAGGCTTCCTTTAAATCTGTTATTCAGTTCAAATGTGTGTTAAGAAAAAGGTCTATTCTGTGTATAAAATATAACAACAAAAAGGGGGAATTATAAATAGAAAAATAAAACATGTAAAGGAGACAGATATTCTGTGTACATATCTTTAAAGTTCTGACAGAGAACACTTGTTAGAGGACAGAGTACACATTCCTTAACTTAATAATAAATTCCCAAAGAACAATTCCAACATGTTAATTTACCACAGTAGATTTACCCATTAAAATCAGTCTACCAGTCTTTACCAGCAAGTTTCATCTTAATTTGTACCATTGAACAGTTCAGTTGAGATGGAATAAAGATTTTCACACAAATACATTCCTACCACAGACGTTCCTGCATTGTACTGGAATATCTACCAACATTCACTAAGTCCAAAGGTAATGAATCCTTTGTCAATATCATCTCTTCACACAGTAGCGGGTCTTAAATGGAAAAGGGCTCTTAATTTTCTATTTGACTCATAGGAAGTAACTACAGAACTGGCTAATGAAAAAAGCTTATTTTTTTATTTTTATTTTTTGGAAATCAGTTTAAAAAATCTAAAGCTGTAAATAAAAAGTGATGAAAGAAAAGTAACTGGCTAGGTTTCCCTTCTTTTTTAGTCACATGATAAAAAGACAAGAAAAATGCTTAACACCCTTTAACTAGAAAATCCGGTCCCTTCACTTGCTACAGGGCTCAATTTTGATTAAGAAAGGGAAAAAATATTTTTGGCTCTAGCTTTAGTAAACAATAAATGATGAAAAATCTTGTCTTTAAGAGATCTGATACCTCAGAACGCAGACCTTAGCACATTGATGTTGCTACATTCCTCCATATAGGTTGGCAAATAAATATCTGAGCCCTATTTTGGCGGAAGGAAGGAAGGACACACTAGTTCCAGCAACAAAACAAGATTATGAAAAGAACTGACCAACACAAAACAGTATTTCTTCTCCTGAATAATAAAGACATCATGTTTGCATATAGAACAGCTTTTGCATTATTGCTCTACATATAATAATATATTAAGGAACTCATAACAGACTGCACATTACAAACTTAAGGTTCTTTGGTGAAGAATGAAAGAAAACAGTATTTGAGCTTTAAAGAAAACAATTTCATCCATGTTTGCTTTTATCTATTGATCCGCTGGATCCTCTCACAGAGCAGGGAGAGGTACTGTGTGAGTTTCACCATGGCCACGATCACCACGCCCCCGGCCATCATACACGTGGGCCAGAAGAGTGAGTGGAACAGCACGTTGGAACTGTAGAGTTTGGTTAGGATGACGTTCTTCTGGTTTCCTTCCGGGTCAAAATAGCAGGAGAAGTGTTGGTACTTCCTGAAGTTTTCCATGACGACATTCACCAGGGACATGGACTCTTCAAAGCTTTTTTCACACTTAGGTATGTAGGAGCACTGTAGAGAATGAGATAAACCGTTATACCAAGATGTGTGTGTATGTGTGTGTGTGTGGGGGGAGACAGACAGACAGTGGGAGGGGTAGAGTACAGCGACCAACTTAATTTATCAGTGAAATGACCACTGTGGTTATTCTATTTGTATTCAGACTGGTTCTTCTAGAAACCTACAGAATCCCTACACATTGCTTAAGGTGTTCCTTGATAACCCACCCATGCATTATTAAAGTATCAATTAAAGTAAAAATCAGGGAAGTGTTCATTAGCTTGCTTTAATCATTCCATATCACATACCACACACACACACACAAAGAAAATGACTCCAACTAGGCTCTTCCCCATAGCGAAGTGTGCTGGGTTGTAATTATTCCCTATTGAACATCCTTCTCCTTGGAATTAAGAGTGTAAACTTTTCTGGATTTGTCTGCTCATCAATTGTACCAATGTCTGATGTAGTTTGTTCTTTTGTTTTGGCATGGCTTCATTTGGTTCTGCTAAGTCACTTTGGTCACTGGTTACCATCTCAGGCCCAAAGTTTGACAAAGACACTTTTCCCAAAGCAGACCCAACCCAGTTTATCTTTCAACCATTCCTAATTTGAGAACTCACTGTGTCTTTCCTTTGATCTTTTCTCCTCTCTTACTCCTCCTGTGACCCCTTCTACACCTCTCTCTTTTCTCTTATTCTGCAGAATTCTCCCTTCCATCTTTTCCATTTGTGTCTCTTCCTCTCTGTCCCCTCTTCCTCTCCTTCCCCTTCTCCTCTTTCTTCTCTGGATACATATGGAATTAAATAACTTTCTTGTAGTTTTTTGAATTATATGTTATTTGAATACATTTCCCTGATTTAACGTGATCTCTAAGGACATGAAATCTCTGTGACCTGCTTTCTTTGGTCTGTACGTATGCAGTGACAAAACTGATGTAAATGATGACAGTTTTTTAAAAAGTTGGGGAAAAGGTGATGTAGGCCACTCTTCTGGGAGATACAAGCCTCCTCGGTTAACTCTTCTCCCCCTCAATGCTAAGACCCTCTCCACAGGAAAAGATTCTCATTTCTTGTGATATATATTATCAAATGATTAATCTAACTGACTTTCTGAACTAAAGTGATTTCTGACAGAATCACCGCTAAAATATAGTATTTTAGAAAACTATGCCTCATTTTCAAAACACTGTTGTTTCAGTTGGAAAATTATCAGAATAAACTGACTTTATGAAAACCACCCATTTATTAATGGTGACCATAAATATTCACCTCCTTAACTAATAGTGAGACTGGTATCCTCAGTGTTGTGCCGTGCACAACTTACACTCCTGTATTCAGAGACACGGATGAGGTGGGCTATGGGTAAATTTTGAGGTACTTTGATATGAGATTTGGGGTGAGATTCTTGAATTTCAGAATAGACCTATACATTTCACAGGAAGAAAATATAAAAGAAATGAAAACGAAATGAAATGAGTTTCTGTTAATGGAGTATATTTGAATTACTCTTCCTCCCGACTTTGTTGGTTGGTACACAGGCATTTTACTTTGTTGGCTGAGCTGTAGTCATTGGATTGACTGTAAACAGTGGGAACTTTCTTTGATTAGTTAAAAATGGAGCATGGCATGTCAGCATTATTATAAACCATGCTTAATGTGATGTTCTTGTAGCCAGGTTTGGCTGACACCTTGAAATTTAACCGGTGAAGAATAAGTGTGAGTATACACATCCCTGTGAGTACAGCAGAGTGCTGGTATTAACACAGCATGAAGAGGCTGAAAGTATCCTCAAGAAACCAGAAGTTCACAGTGACTTATAACTAAGCTGGCAATTAGCCTGTGACTGCCAGGAAGCAAATGCTCTACTAGGTGGATGCCTCTGGATCAAAAGACTCTCAGGCACTTAAGGGAGGTGGGTACTGCTTTCTGTTATTCCAACTTCCCAGATCATGTATTTAGTTTTAAAAATATTTTTTTGAAGAAGAGTATTAAGAAAAAACAGAACAAGTACAAAAAGCCATTTATGACTGAATTCAAAGTGAGCCAATTTAGATTATAAATGCATCAGTTCCCTGTATATTTTGTGCCAATATAGTTTATAGTAGTAGTTTCAGTGGCTTAACAGTACTGAGTTATTGAATTGATTTCAATAAAAATGGCATTCTATTAAAAATAGAGTGTTTTTCCCCTTTTCTTATGCTCTCATGAATTGATTCGGCTTAAGAAAAAAAATTTTTAAAGAAACATTTTTCTGCCAAATGGCAATAACTTTGTCACTAGGTGAGATTCTTCCAAATAAAACAAGATATAAACTACCATTGAGACTATCTAGCAAGGTTGTAATACAGGAGCTGCTTATTAAAGTTTAAAGATGTCAGAATCTGAAATGTGTGTGTATGTGGGCTGGCTATTCCAAACAAGACCTGACTTGGGTCCTCAGGGCCAGTGGCACATATATGTGCAGCAGGCAGGTGCTTGGAGAAAGGACCCTCTACCCTGATGTTTTTAGCTCTTCCTGACTTCTTACCTGCCCCTTTTCAACTCACACACAAATTGGCTTCTGCTAGACCATTAACTACCCATGAAAATTCTACCATATTTCAATCATCCATTTCTTTTTCTTATTGATTTCATTTGTGATAATGAATGTATGAGGCAATGTAAAAACATCTTGACTTGTGTTTAGGAGATTTGGTTACTAGGGTTACTGTTATCAAGTTGTATGGCCCCTCAGAACCAATTTCATGTATATCTTGGGGTTGCTAGAGATTTCCTGGCAGAGAATCTGTGAGCATTAAATGATAAATATGCTATAAAGCCTCCATAAATTTTTATTATTACATTTTCTCTTGGAATATCATACATGTTCACACAATCTTCTAAAAATCTTCAATCAAGTGGCATGTTCTAAGTTATGAAACCTCTGAGAGGGAAAAATTACTAGCTGTACAATCTTCATGGGGACAGCTCTGTTCAGTGGCTCTTGTTTCGTGTCCCCCTTTTGTCCTGTTATATTTGCAAAACATAGAATTCTACCTTAGGATTCTAGTTTTCTGTTTCTTTGGATTAAACTATCTTCCTGAGGCCTCTAGGAACTGGGTGTAAAGCTTTAGTTGTCTTATGATTTCATCAAATGTTAGGAAGATACTATCATGTGGTTGGTCTAGAACATATGGGATATATTTTAACAAATGTCATTGATTAACACAGGTGGAAAATGTAATGTAGGTTGAAAAGATGAAGACCTTAGCATTTTAAACCTTTTCATTTATTGGAAGATATGAGAATGGAAAGGTTTAACTTTTACACTGTATATGATATGTAACAGAAAGGAACATATTAGTAATTATTTTACATACACATGTACATTAATATTTTCACCCTGGTCATAGGTGATTATTTCTTTTGTGCCTTAACACGTAACATATAAACTTATCAAACCTCTGAAGCAGACATTCAGCAGAAGATTTAATTCACATCTCTTTTCTTAATCTTGAGTTTTGTTAATCAAAACTTACTTCTTTTCCCCAATCTCTTAGATACTTGAAAGACAGAAACTTATTTTGGTATTGAAAGCCATATAGATGTCCCCTGGCATGGCCTTTCCTATCCTAGTTATGAAAACCTGTTATTGGGTTTTAAGAGTCTTCTGTGGTCAGTGAAGACTGAACAATTATATTTTCTTTTCAGTTCTTTGGAAAAATGACTGAAAATTTCCTTTTCTTAGCTTCACTTCCAGAATCTTTTACATCCACAGAGTTTTTTTTTTTTTTTTTTTCTCTCTCATGTTGGACAGAAGTTTTGACAAACTACCTGTTGGGGTTTTCTTATAAACACGCTTCACTGGGCATGTGTGAAGCAGAGTGACATGCCTTCATCCCAAAGATAAAAGATTCCAGGAGGGGAGGGAGCAGTGGGAGCTGGATCTGGCTGAATAACCTCACTGTCAGGAAGAAGGGAATTATCAATTTCTCAGGACCCCTCAAGGGAGGGGTTTGTCTTTCATTGGCTTCTTTATAAAAAAGAAAGTGTGTTATTTCAGAAATGGGTCAGAAGTTTAATGAAAACCAATCAATATTTATTGAGTGATAGTAAATATTGTGCCAATGTGTCTTTTACCATGCTAAATATAGGCATCAAAATCATAAGCAATGAGACCCCAATAAAGGTGGGGTGATGAGATGGAACAGGAATGTATCTAAAAATGCCTTCATCAAAGCCTATCACCTCAGAGTAGATTACAGATTTGTAATTTGCCCTAACCAGTAGTTAGGGCATCCTAGTTCATGATGTCCTAAGTTAAACAAATAAAAATGATCATGTAAATAATATGTACTTTTCATTCCAAAGTCAGATGGAATTTTTTCTAGTGTACTTAAACAATATAAATATTCATGAAGCATATACAATTTGCCAGACTTTGTGTTCTATGCTATAGATATAATCCTATATTCAAATTAATAAGACATAATCCTATATTCAAAAAATGAGCTCAGCAGCTGGTAGCCTTGGGTTACTCTGGCCCACAGGTATATTTTGAACTTCAGAGTTCTTTGAACATTAGTGATGAACAAATGTTGAGAAGGCAATTTTGGACTTTATTTTTCTTTCCTCTTATGAGACTTCCAGCTCTTTATCACTTTTAAAATAGTGAATCCTTATCCCCCCCCCACTAGTTTAGACCTGATTAGTTTGCACTTGAAGTATTTGCTTGATTTTGGCAAGTGGGACTGTTGGAAGTGTTTGGTAGAGAAATGGAAAACAGAATTCATGCTCTGCTATATAAGGTCATTTTTTCCTTTCCTATATTTTCCCAAAGTTCTTACATCTATTATGGCACTTCTATTTAATTTGGAGTAGAGAACTCGCTTAAAAGATGCAGAAATGAGAGAGAAGCTGTCTAGAGCCTTGGAATTATTCAATATCTGGAGTAGCCTATGTAACAGAGTCTGCAATTCATGGTGAGTCAGATATCTCATCTAAACCTTGACCCTTTTCCATGGTCTTCTT